CCCCTCAGTAACCCCCATGGGGGGAGGGGTAAAGGTTTGGTATACTAGACCTGGACAGGCCCCCCTTCCTGCCACAGTCCTATCACAGGACTGCTCTCTTGCATGCATCCTTCCTGATGGACTTGCCTATGTGGGTATCATTAAAACATGTGTTTTATTGCCCTTAAATTTAGTCTCCTCTAATTTCTGTGTGGATTGGGCATGCCCCCTAGCAAAAGCTGTTACTCACTGGGGTGCATGGAGCTCCCTATGAGTACCACTGCTGGCCTCCCATGGAAAGTGTGAACTGTGAACTGAGACTGGTTTGAATATAGCTGGGATGACCGCTTGGTGGAAATTGATCTCCTCAGGCTGAGGCCAACTATTATAATTACCATTTTTGCTGTTGGAAGGTTCCAGCTTTCTCGCACAGGGACCATTTCAGAAGATTGATTTCTCCCATAGAAAGCGCAAGTCATGAACTCATTTGAGTAGCAATTTCTTGAATACAGCTGGAATGACCTTCTCAGCCTTGCAGATTATTATGATTTTTGTTATAATCTGTATGTTGTCTTTATGTGCTATTGCTGTTGTGGAATCTGGTTACAATGCTCAGCTTTCCACAGGGTCCATCAGGGAAGACTGAGGGTGTGTAGGTTTTGAGGTGATAATCCTGGAGGGGTTGAATGTGGAGAAAATGGAATTTCCTATGGTGAGGATGCTCCCCTGACCCAAACTACTTGGTGATTGTAATTGGCCTGCTGCTCGTCAGCATGACAATAGGATAGGTGGTTATTACCTTTATTGGGGCTGTTCCAGTGATGGTATCTGTAGTCAGCTAGGCGTGATACACGGCAGCCGATTGTTTCTCTATCAAAGTGTATCATACCTCTGCCCCTTTCCAGAGTTGTGACTAGAATCCAATAGGTTGGCAAGTCCGTTCAAGCTGCTGCTGGAGAGCCCAGCCATAACCGCCTTTGGTTACATGACTCTGCAGCTCACAGCGCCTTGACGGGTCTGTCACACTCAGTGCCTGCCTGGCTCTGACTGCCTGTTTGGCGGCAGAAAAGCAGACACACATCTCAACCATACCCATAGGCAAAAAGCTATTACTGACTATCCCCCTTGTTTTCTTGAAAAATCATTCTCAGGCCATTGTATTCTCACATTTCTCTGTTAAGATCCTTCCTCATTTTGTAGCCCAGGAGCCTTAGAGTCAACAGACGATCATATTTTAAGGAGAGTGAGCTTGTCAGGGAAGTGCAGGCTCCAGTTACAGGCATAGGCTCTCCTGTGATTCTGGTCATGTGTCAGATCTCAGCCTTTCCCTGTCCCCACCAAGGAGACTCTGCCTCTGGGGCTTACAGAAAAGAAAACCACCTTGAAAAGACTCAACTGGGCTCTTCAGAGATGCTCACTAGAAACTTAGCATTGTTTCTGGGAATTGGAAACTGGGAGGAAGGTTTTAAATGTTTTAATTAATTGTTAAATTAATATCAAATTTTTAGTATTAAATAGCATCAAATTATTAAATGATTAATATTAAATTATTAAAATCAATATCTTAATATTAATTTTAACTGTCCAATCACATAATGTCACTGTAAGTAGAGGTAAGGTGATAATTGCATTTCTGTGTAGAACTGAAGCCACTGAATCGCACACCCATATCTTGGGGTCTGGCGCCTCCCTCCTGCACAAGTAGGGGCTGTCATGATTGTACCCCTAAACCCATCACCCTGGCAGCTGAAATAATTTAGTATTTTTCTATTTCAATCTGAGACAGATTATCCACAGGACTGAGGCATAAGAGGGTGTGGGTAAATGCTTGTGTCTAGAAAGGGGATTTTTCTTGGGTGGAAATTGGATCGGTGTTATTCCCACACAGGAAGGAGTCATTCACGAGGCACAGGTCCACCTGTGGACAGAGAAGCGGTCTGAGACCCTGGGCCAGTTGCTGATCACTCCTAATGAATTTTGATGTAATCCTTGCTGTTGGCCTCTGTTGGCATTTGATCTAAATATTAATGGGTTCTGGTTTTTATAATCCTGAAGACTATAATTCTGCTCTGTGGAAATTACAGAGAAACTTGCATGATTTTTAGTGTAGTTATTTCAGTAAAAGTCATACGAATATGATAATGAGTTTTATGGAGTTCATTGAATCACTCATCCCTGTATAAACAACGTGATCAAGTTACATTTCCTGAAATACAATTAATTTTCTGTTACTTTGGTTTGATGTATTTGATAGAGGTGCTAATAATATCTCTTCTGAAAATGCTCATAGTCTGTCAATCAAGATAGGACAATTTTCTTTACACAGTTCATGAAAGAGCCTTCATGGAAGAGGTGACGTGAAGGATTTGTTGGGGAGCGTTGGGTATTTTCCTCTGTCCTTGTCCCCCCTCCACAACAAAGATTTGAAGGGCAGAGACAATAGTGAAGGAGAGTAAAAGTTGTTTTTTTAAATCTTTTTTTTCCAAAGAGAGTTTTCTCTTATTAAGGTATCATTGATATACGCTCTTACGAAGGTTTCACAAGAAAAACAATGTGGTTACTACATTCACCCATATTACCGAGTCCCCCCCACACCCCATTGCAGTCACTGTCCATCAGTGCAGTAAAGATGCCACAGAGTCCCTATTTGTCTGCAGAGTAAGTTTTATTGAAGTTACTTAAAGAGAAAAAGTGCAGGCGAACTCAGGGAGGAGAGGCACCCTGAAAGGTCGGAGGGAGAAAGTTTAAAGTTAAAAGGTTACGCACTTAGAAAGTACAGGCAACCTCAGAGAGAGGAGCGCCCTGAAAGGTTGGAGGCTCCCCCTTTTAAGGATTGTTCAGGAATGTGACCAAGGGCTGGGGGTGTGGACTTGTTAATCGTCTCAGTCCTACAGGTAATTCTGTAAGCAGCTTAACACAAGACATTTGCTGCTCGTGGCCCCCCTCCCAGGGTAGCCCCTTCCTGGCCTGGGAGCCTATCAATCCAGACTGCCTGCCCCTCCTCCAAGGTGGGCTGGGTTATTGTCTGTTTGCTAAAGAGGATGTTAAGAATCTAACTTCTTAACTTCTAGGGTTTTTTAAAATGTGATTGTAGCTTTAAGGTGGAATCTTCCTGTCTTTATTATGCTGTTTATAGCTGGGCCTTTTAGCAGGCAGGCTAGAGTAAATCTTAGAATGGCACATGATCTAATTGACACAGCGAAGACATGGGCTTAGCATTTGTCAGCTTCAAGTGTGCCTTCTGATATTTTCAATGGTTTACAATGATCGAGTGTCATTTTCAGGCTCATCCTTGTGTTTCTCCTGTTTGAATTTATTCAGTGCACAAGATTTTATGTTTCAAATTCCATTAATTTTTATATAAAGACTAGTTTATACCCCCAAAATATATTCCTATTTCATAATTCAAATCCAATTGCTTAGGGGGAAAAAATTCCATGTTATGTAATAATTTATATAGTTGATATCAATGGAAAAATATATAATATTCATTTTGTTCCATCCCCATATTGACTCAATATCCGTACACTCGGTTTAATCATGAGAAATTATTTAGTGCATCAACATTTTACTAAGACTTTTGAATGTTCGTTTATAAGTGATAATGATCAAAAGACTAAATAATAAATCATAATTAGCACAATTAAAAATAAAATACAAGTTTAAAATATGACAATGTATTAAGTATATTTGGATTATTTAAGGAACACAAGATATACGAGAGAACCACAAATGTAAATGCCAGTGTCACTGCAACCAGGCTGCTTGGGTTCAAACCTGACTCTGTGTCATTTATGTGAACCTTTAAGCCCTTTCAGCATAATTCTACCTGACTGTACTAGACAAAATGGATATCTATGCCAGGATTGCTCACCTGGCTTTAATACCAACCATTATAGACCGGAAAGAGGCTATTTTCATATCGATGGGATGTTTACTGGGACAGAGCCCCTGGCCAGTCAACAGGAGTACCAGCCTTGGGGAGGGGCGGGGAGGAAACAGCCGCTCTCCCCTCTCCTCTGTTCCTGTTACCCAACTGGTCAGGCAGCCCCCCTTCACCACAGAAGCGTGCTCTCAGAACCCCTCCCTGGGCGGGGTGCCCGGAAGTGGAGAGCAGAGGGGCTGGGGGAGGGGGTGGCAGCGGGAGCCCTGGAGGCCTGGGCCGGTCAGGGAAAGGGTTGAGCCCCTGCTGGGAAGCAGCCGGGGAGGCAGCGCTGAGGGGCAGAGCCTGTGGGTGCCCCGGGGAACGTGTGGGGGCTCGCCGCTTGCACACAGCTGGGTGACCACTACAGGAATGAACATGGTTGAGCCCCTATAAAAACCCCCAGCTTCTTGCCCTCGCCTTTAGTGGTCTCTGGGAATTCATAGAGAACGTGCCTGCGGTGGGGAACCCCCTTCTCCTGGAGCAACACTGTAAAAGGAGCATAATGTTAGGTCTTAATTCCAAGATTACTAAATATTACGTATGTTACAAATAACGCATTAAAAAGTGACCCCTATATTTTAAATTCCATAAAAAGAAATACATCACACTTGGAAAATCTCATCTCTTAACAAAAGAAAAATACATATTAGAAATAAACTATCAGAGGGAAAGTAATATTAAGTGCAGATTTGTCAATTTAATTCTAACTAAAAATTGTAACCCACACTCACGTCTCCATGCGGAATCCATTGAATGTGAATATTGAGCCCTGAAAAGTAATTGAAAGGCCTCTGTGAATTTGAAAATTGCATTGATCTTCCTGGTCCAGAATATCCTTGGAATCCTGGGTAATTACTCGCTCACATCATTACACGTCCTCTTCCTTCAGTGGAGACGGGTCACGGCCCACGGGGCTGGTTCTCAGGCACCGACTGCAGTCAACTCCTGGGCTGTTCTCTCAGGAGGGGCCCTGGGAACTGGGGCAGCTTTGGAGGGACAGGTTTTCTTAAGCATTTTGGACACAAACTAGTTTTCTATGTTCACAGAGTGTTCTGGGGCATGTCCGCTAACCACCTGTCCCTTGAGTGTCTTCCAGGCCATGCGCGTCAGCCCCCGGGGCTCTGGTTGGACAGAGCTTAGAGTGAAGGTCCTGAAGCCCACCGGCCCCTCCGCCACCCTGTGCCAGGGGGTCCACGTGCTGGGGGACCTCACAGTGCCTCTGCATGTGATTGGGAAACAGAGTCACGGGAACATCACTACTAGAGATTTTAACTACATTCATCTGTGCTTCACAACAAAGGCACAGACCTACTGTGTGCAGTGTCCGTGTCTGCCCCTGATGTCCCGTGTTTGGGGCTCATGATCTGGGCCGGCGGCTCGGTGGTTTCCCTCCAGCTCAGGCACCCGCAGCGGGTCCTGCACATTCATAGGAACGGGCTCCCCAAGAGCCCCCCTGAGACCAGAGCCGCCCGCACCGTGCTGGCCCTGCTGATGCCTTTGTATCCTCTTTCCCCTCTCCCCCACCATTCACACTTATTTTTCTCATTTTGCTAATCCGCTTGGTGGCTGGTGAGCTCCTCTGCCTTCCTCAGGGCACGTTCCCTCCGCCCCCCACCGTCAGCCCCTTTGTGCCCCTGAATTGTAAGCCTGTGTGTCCGGGCACTTCTGTGCTCGTGCTGGAAGAAATGCATGGTGCTCTCACCTCATCCGGAATTAGAAAATGTGTGTTTCTCACCGTGTCGCACCCACCGTGATGCCCTCGTTCTCAGCGGGATCTTAACAATCGCAGGCCAGTCTCACTGCAGATGCGGGCAGGGGGCAAAGCATGAAGAAACCATATTGAAGTAACTCCCGTTACATAAACACGTATCCACAAAATGAAGTAGGGTCGTGAATGGAATATTTTCAGATCTTAATTTATTAAATGTAAGATACTAGTATTTATGAACAGACATCTTTTATGCTTTCCTGATAGTCAGTGTCCAGTGAGGGAAAACCATCGACTCGATGTGCTTCCCATGGGGGGAAAATGCTGAGGCCGCACTAAGATCAGCTGCTCTCTGCAGCTGCCCACCCTCCCCGGGCAGCAAGGAGAGCCGCGGAAGGGGGAGGGTTGGGTCCGGCAAGTCGTGTCTGTATCTTCTTTAGAAACAGCCTTTCCCATGGATAATTATTCCACTATGTTGCTTTATATCACTTCTGTTCCATTTTTTAAATTTGCCAAAACATCTTATGTTTGCCTTAATAGAATTCTTTTGTGTAGACTTCTTAATGTATATGTTTCTTTTAATTTAGTTTTGTTCTAGCATAAAAATATACGCTGTCACAATTCATAAGAGTTTCTGGAGGCTTAAACCCACTGCTACCCCAGGTACAGAGGGGGACACCCTGACAATTGGAGATTTCCCTTCTAAATACACCTTGTCTCTTACAAAAAGGAAACTTCTGCTTGGTTTTCAGAGCTCATCGGGGTACATCTGCTGTTTCATAAAATATTATGTGGCATTATAGGTTTCAGTATGAAATGTTTTGTAAACATGAATCATCTGAAATTTTAGAAATAGAAGAACTTTGAAGGGTAGAGGAAAATCTCTTCTTCCCCCATGCTGTCTATAATAATTTAGAGTGGGTGGCTTGGACCTGGAAGAGAGCTGATACCAGAGGTAACTTTATATCAGAAAGGCTTATCTTCACGTCATGGCAGATACTTACCAACCCTCTGCTCTTCCATCTTCTTGTGAATTGTCTTCCTGCTGTTTGAATGCCCAGACATCTACCCTCTTTGAGGATGACATGAAAACCTCAATCACCTGATGGAACCAGAGCCTCATATTTTTTGGGTCCTTGTATGTATGAAATTAAATTTGTTCTTCACCTCTTGATGTCATGTTAATTCAATTAATAGCCCAGCCAAAGAACCTAGAGGGGAAAATGGGGAAAGGTTTCCTCCCCAGAATATTCATCCCAGTTGCTATGAAAACTGTATGAGACCGTTACAGGGGACAGGCCCTCGGTCTCATGAGGGATAAGAAATCAGGAATGGACACGAGAAGCAGTTCAGCGTGAAGAGTTTGTTCGGAGACTACAATATCAGAGACAAAGTGAGAGTGCACACCTGAGAGAGAGGCACAGGCAGGCCCAGAAGGGGTGTGCAGAGGAAAGGAGAGAGCATTGTCACGGAAAGGAATATGGATATTCACTAAGAGAGAGGAGGTTGTAAAGGAACAGGTGGGGTTTCTCCTAGTTTGGGCTTGCCCCCCCCTCATGTCCCCCAGGGGTACTATTGCCTGTCTGGTTGTCACTGGAACTGTCATGGTGCGGGGAGGCTTGATACTTACCAAGGTAATGAGTGTATCACGTGTTGTGGGATGGAACTTGGGTCAACTGCTTCTCCACGTTGGAACCAGGTGGTTTTGGCTGGTCTGTCATCCAAACCCTCACTCCCCACCTCCTGCAAGGACAGGTTCCACGGATGGAATGGGTAGAATGTAGGCATCCGGCCCAGTGTAAACACTGTACCCTTGTCATGTCGGCTATTTAGCTCATATACTACTAACAGGAGCATAGAAAGTACATTAAGAGAATTTTTTGTCATGTAATTATAAAATTCGACATTTTGGAAAACGAGCAAAATTTCACAGCCAAAATATGTCCCTGTGGCATAGGATTACTTCAGGCTGTTTATTTTTAAGGAACAACAGATGTACCCGGGATGAGCTCTGAAAACCAGGCAGGAGTTTCCTTTTTGTAAGAGGTAAGGTGTATTTAGAAGGGAAATCTCCAATTGTAAGTGTCGGCCTCCTCCCCGTCTCCGACCCGCAGATAGAGGAGGCGACGCGATGACTTGTCGAACATCTTAACAGGCTGGCCAGGGGACTCAAGGCATAATCAGCTCAAGAGTGGTGCTGAGAGGGCACGTCTCGTATTTATTAGTCACACAAATACATCCAAGGACAATTGGTGATCTCATGCATACAACCATAGGCTCGTTGTGATCTCAGTGCACAACTCCCTTCACAAGGCTTCTCAGCACAGCACAATAGGGGAGATAATGTTGCCGGAACTGGCGTTGGTTAAGACAACATTCATTTAAGGAACACATCACATTCCTCAAGGCACACATCACTGATTAATAGAGAACAGTTGAGTCATGAAGTTTTAAGCCCACATATAAGGGTGTCCCCCTCTATACCTGGGGTAGGCATGGGTTTAACCCTCCGGAAACTCTTATGAATGGGGACAGCATGGAGTTGAATCTGCGTAAGAACCGCATTCCTGACCCAAGTGCTAATTCTGATAACCGCCCCAAACCGACCCCATCCGCAGCGTCTGTGGCCTTCAGGTAGAGATGGGATTGGAGGGCGGGACTGAGGCCGTTTCAGGGGCCTGGTCAGTGTGCCTGGGTCTTAGGCTGTATCTGTGTTAACAAGATTATGGTTTCCTTTCTCCTGTTAATCTCCCTCTGATGCGAGAAGAGAAGACAGGGAGGGTCCGAGTGGGAGGGGTTCCCAGGACAGGGAACAGCGTGAGGGGTTAGGAATCGGTGAGGGTGTCAACACAGGGAAGCAAAGGGTTGAAAGCAAAGGAGTCGGAGAGTCCCGCTGAGACCGACACACCTTGGTTGCCTGGGGTTTAACGCCCGGGCGGGCCGTGTCAGCCCCCCTGGGGTCACCGCTACAGACCCCTGACCCCTGACAGCGCCGGTCACGGATGGCCTGAGCCTCCCCGGCGCCCCGCCCTCCCTTAAACCTCAGGGGGCGGAGCCCCAGGCCGCTTCCGGGGCCTCCGGTGCGCGGGCAGACCCCGGCCCTGCTGCGCGTGCGTCCTGGCTCCGCCCGCGGGAAGGGCGGGTCCCGCTCCTGCTTCCGGGCAGCACGCGGAGGGTGGTGCGTGTCTCGCGGTCGGAGCGGCGCGGCCGTGGGGCCTCTTCCCTGGCCTCTCTTTCCGCGCGCCCAGTGAGCTCGCCTGTCCCCGCGCGTCCCCGCCGGGTGCCGAGCCTGTGCGCAGTCCAGCCCCCGGCGGGGCGGAGCCGGTGCCCGCGGTCCCTGAGCCCCGCGCCCCTGCGTCCGTCCTGAGACCCGGGCCCGGAGGGCGGCCTGGGCCCCGCGTCAGGGTCCTGCCCGCGGTCGGCGGGGAGCCGGGGGAGGCCCTGCCGCCGCTGTCCGCGCATCTTCTCCGGGGCCGTGAGCCGTGTCCGCACAGCGCCCGGTGGGGGAGGAGCCCGAGCAGCCCGAGGCCGAGGCGGAGATGGCGGCCGCCCAGGTGAGGGTGCGTCCGGCCGGGGCTGGGCGGCGTTTCCCCCTGAGCTGCTCTAAGTTTAGAACTGGCGCTCGGTTCCTTCTCTGCTTCTGCCGTCCTGCCTTCCGTGTGTGCTCACCTGCTCTGAAACCTTTAAAAATGCAACTCAGGCTTAGCTGTGTGGGGACCGAGGTTCGGCCACCGCAAGTTGTGCCACTGGGACATGCAGATAATTTCAGTTGCAAAACCATCAGGGCACAAAAGACGCAGGAAGAATATTTGACCTCCCGCCCCAGAACTGAGTGAAAAGAGTTTAGCTGGAGGCGGCACTCCCGGAGGAGCGCGTCACCTTAGACGGCTGTGTATGAAGTAACCAGGGAAGGATGCGGGCGAGTCTGGTGATGAGCCAGATAATCTGGTTAAGACCTCATTGGTGCCAGTTAGTGAATGTTTGGCAGAATAGTTTGAGAGTATGCTTCTTCTTATTCGTAATTTCTGTGGGGTTTATTGTCGTACATTAGGAAAAACTTAGAATGATACCTAGTAACTAGTAAATGTTTTCCATGGTTTCTATTACTTTATTTTATTAGAAACTGAAATTGCCGGAAAATACTTTCAACGTCTTCCTCCTATTCTTTCCCTAGAGTCCTGCCTCTTTGTCATTCACCAGTGGACTCTCGGCTTCGGGCTCGGCCTTGTGAGAAATACAGACCCAGAGCCCCTTAATGAGCAAGTTCATTTTGACAAGATCTCCAAGTCCCTGTATTGAAATTGTAATTCACATTTTAATGTGAAGAGTACATTTCTAAGTCACCAAAGCCTTCCATGTTGATGCCAGGGTTCTTGTTTGCCGATTCGAAGGAACTTAGCCAACAGTCAAGGCGGGAGAGGCAGGGAGAGGCTTTTATTTAGAGATACAGTGAGAGGACACAGCTCCGGGCTCACGCCGGGAAGGGACAGGAGAGCCGTAGTTGTGGGTTGTCTAGGGGATTTATAGGCAGTTGATGATCTTTGGAAACCGGTAAGGGGCTTAGGGCTGTGGACTTGTTAAGTGGGCCGTGAATAGTTAGAATTAACTTAACAGAAGGAATTTCCTGCTCTGATGATTTCTCCCTGAGATACCAGCGTCTTGGTCTGAGAGCTCTTCAAAGAAGGCGGGCTGCCCATCCCCCCAGATGGGCAGAGGTATTGTTTGCTGGTTAAGAATCCTACTTCTTAACTTCCTGGATGTTAAAATGCAGTCTTATTTTTAAGGTGGAATCCTTCCTGCCTTTTACTACGTTGTTTATGGCTGGGCCTGCGTGCTGAATTAGTTGCTAAGTTTGCAGATCACCTCATCAGGTCTGAAGGAGGAAAGACAGCAGTAGGCCTGGGCCTTTTAGCATGCTAAAGTGAATCTCACAGATGATTATAAATGATTAGCATAATAAAAACATGTACTACTTTCTTTTATCTGGGGAATATTAACTGATCTCACTGAAGAATGACTCTAGAGCTGAATGTTTAACACAGAGTTTTAGTAGGGGGTTTCCTTGCATGTAGGTACATTGCTCTGACTGCAGATATCCTGCCTTGCTTTTTCTGGAGGCCCTCACCTTACTGTGACTACACCTCCCCCCATTCCCTGTCGCAGGAATGAAACCTGCTTTTTAAGGGACTCAGGAAGGAACTGTACTTCTGAGATGAATTTGCTTCTACAGGTGGTACCTTATACGAATCAAAAAGTAAATTTCAGGATTTCTAACTTTGTATTTACAACCCGTTCATGCTTGTGATGAAGAGCAGGATGAATCTGTTTGGATCATATCATCCTGTGCAGAATGAGTGCATTTGAGTTATAACTGCCAACTAGAAAGGTTTCCTGTAACTCTGGTTATAGGATGCAATTAACGGAGACACTATCCATCGTCATACTGAAAATACTTGTGGCCTGTAGATTTGGGTCTGTTTTCCCTCCTGAAGGTAGGGAAACACCGTGAATGGGAAAGGTAACTGTTATGCCCAGAGTTCGTGATCCCCAAAGACTGCCAGGGATCCGAGTCCCGTGCAAAAGCAAAGAGCCTTTACTCAAGCTCAGTGTCCCATCTGCACCGACGCGGCGGAGAGATGCCAGAGAGAGAGCACGTGTTGCAAAAGCACAAAGGTTTTATAGGGGTCTAGGGGCAGTTGGCGGGGTGAGGGTCATGGCTTTAGCTGATTGGCTGGGGAAGGGTCAGGGCCCTGTTGCACAGGTTGCTGGGTGTGGTTTGAGCGGGAATGGGGCCGTGGGGGGGACATAGTTACTCAAGATGGAGGGCACAGAACAAAGTGGAGTCGGTCCGGTTTGCTCTATCAGTAATATTCTGAGTTTGGGACTATAGCTGATAGGATTGAATGGATCTGTGGTAATATACTTGGTATAAAATTAGTCTAATAATTAAGAAAAATCTCCAGTTCATAAAATACACAAGATTTCACGCTCTGGAGGTACAGTTTTGTGCATATGTGCTTGTATTAATATCTTTTATAAACCATGCATCAGTGCTGTTTTCTCATAATTACGATTGACTGTTTTTTCCCCCACAGTATGAACAGTGGTGTGACCTGTGGGCTCAGGCAGCTGACAGCAATTTGTGCCATTACAGAACTCACATGTGTCCCCTTGGTTCTGGGGCTCAGTGCCCGGTTCCTCTGTTAGTAATTTCCCAGTTGTCATTAAGGATCTCAGAAGGATTTGCTGAGAATGTTCACAAACCACCTCATTTAGTCTAGAAACTCCCCTTTCTCCTCGGTTTCCCATGGCATGGAAGTAGCTTTGGAAAATGAAGTGGGTCTCCTTTGTCGCCTGGAGGTTCTGCGAGTGGAGGTTTCCGTCAGGCACCGTGGGTCGTGGGAGTTTGCCTTTCATCCCCACTCTAGTCACAGGTCTACTGCTTCTTATTTCATTTTGCATTTTCAGAAAAGGAAAATGAGAACCACATATTTAATGTATGTATTAGTGTCTTTAAATTCTAACATGTAACTCAGTACCTATAATAAATGTAGCAAAAAATTTCAAGGAAATAGAAAACTCAGAAATGGTAGCTTTTATTATAGTTTTTATCATGCGTGTGGCTTTTGATAGCACATTTGGAGACAGAAAAAGCATCCGTATATAATTAATGGATACGCAAATGAAAACATTTATTTTCTGAGAATAAAATTTTCAACTATTAGTTTTAACATGCATATGTTTACATTTTAATAGATGGATGCATGTGTAAAATTACATGTAAAACTTAACAGATCGAGTGTGTGCTGTTTAGTTCGTTTGTTACTATTCCTCTGATAAGGAAACTGCTGTGAGCTTCCCTTCAGGTTGTCTAGAATGTTCATCATTGTGTCCCTTTGATAAATTCTAGGTTATAAAGTGAGTTAAAACCGAGCCTCTTAGCATTTACTGGATATTTAACAAAATGTCCTCATAAATGAGATAAAATTGTATCTTCATGGATTATTTTTGTGTGTTGTGTGTCAGCCCATGAAAAGCTATTTGTAATATCTGGCAAATGTTCTGAATGGATTGCGTTTGCCCTTCTCGCTATGTTCTAAGAGACTGCACTTGCCGTAAAAGTTTTAGTTCAAAACCACCCATGAATATTTCCCATGGCATTTCACTACTTTGTAATTAAAAAATGGGGCCCCTGGAGGGAGAATCCTTAGCATCACCAGTGAGCCTGCTAGAAATGCAGAAAATCAGCACCCAGCCCAGAAAACCTGAATCCTCATCTGCACTTTGAAGGTCTCCAGTTCATTGTTGTACATATTAAATTGGAGAGGTACACTTCTAACGTACCATGCCTTTGCCATTGGGAACTATGGAAAAATTAACAGTTCAGCTATAAAATTAGTAGTTAAGAAATACAACCCTGTATTGATTCCTCAATTATATATTTTATCTCCCATATAATCATAGTGTCTGTAGTGGTTTTGTGGATTTCCGTCATCCTCTTTCCTCAGCATTAAGGGAACACTATAGAGTACTTGTGTTAAAAATGCTTCAGGTCACTGACCCAGGCCCAAAGCAGGTCTCTTACCTCCCACTCTTCATTTTGGGTCATTTTACAAACTCTGTTCACAGCCACTGGAGAAACATCGTTATTTTTGTTCCTTTGTTCTTTACACATCAGGGATTGTTGACCTTCGGGGACGTGGCCGTCCGGTTCTCCCAGGAGGAGTGGGAATGCCTGGCGCCTGCCCAGCGGGCCTTGTACAGGAGCGTGATGCAGGAGAACTACAGCAACTTGGTCTCTGTGGGTGAGGAAAAGAGCTTCTTTCCAGCATTCCTAATCCAAATTTCAAGCTTTTATTTTCTTAGTTGATGGAATGGCTCCTGTAAACTTCAGCTTTGTATGAAAGTGTGTCAGATTCATGAATTCAAGGGAAAAATTGAGGATTTGTTGGTGTAGAAACAATTTTCCTGATGTATTTTGACTTTGACCTCCCCTTTCTGCAGCGACCTGTGTCCTTCACCCTAGGTTCGTGGTACTTCCCGAGATCAGGGGCATAAAGTATGTTCACCCCATGTTCAGTCCTGAAATCCACACTGACGGAGAAGCCGCAGGGAAAACTGAGAAAGAACAAGGATTTATCTGGGGTCTTGGAATTGCCACTTGGGGAGCACAGATGGAGCAGCAACCAGAAAAAGTGTCACCCCTGTGCAGGGAAGGAAGGAATTTGTACGAGAAAGGAGTGGGTGGGGGGCCTTTCATGACCTGGATGGAGGAAGACAAGGACATAACTACCTACTGCCCCTGAGAGGCTGGGCGGCTTCACTATGCCTTGTTGACTAACTCACGCCTCCAGGGGAAACAACTCATGGTCCCTTATAACTGCCCATCTCTGCAAAGTGCATTCTGACAGTTATTTTGTTTTTATGGTTCCTGTTTGATTGACTGTAGCCCTTTTAATTTTACGAGCAGTAACGTGTGAAAACTGTTTCTGGTCCAGTTGAAAAGGTCCTGTTGATCATTATGTCCTTAGAAGTTAATTCATCTTATTCTTGGGAGTTGGTACAGTTTTAGTAGCCCTTTCCTTCTCTCACCCCCTGCAATCCCTATCAACTACCATGTGCTCTCTTACGGGTTTTTTTTTTTTTCAATACTCATACTCTTAAGTGAGATCATGTAGTATTTGTGGTTCTGTGACTTAATTTGCTTAGTGTAAACACCTCAAGATTTCTCCATGTGCTCGAGAATGGCAGAGTTCTCTCTCTGATGACTAAATAGGATTCCATTGTGTGTGTGCATGTGCGTGTGGAGGTACATGACACACTTGATTTATCCAGTGATGGACACTTGGCTTGTTCCCAGGCCTTGGTTAATGTAAGCACAGTGCAGTGAATACGTGGATTCATACATTTCTTTGCAGTCCTGATTGTATCACCTTAGGATACACACCCAGTAGTGGAATTGCTGTATTATGTGGTAGTTGTGCTTTTACTTTGTGGAGAGTCCTCAGAAGTCTCTTCCAGTGTCCCTGTAACAGGTTGCATTCCTGCACCATGATAGGGATTCCCGTTTTCTTTTTTTTTTCATCCTCACCACCCCTCGTACCTCTCTCTGATAGGTGCATTCTAGCAGGTATGGAAGGAGATTTTTACAATGGTTTGGACGCCATGTCCCTGATGAGTAGCCGTGTTGTGAACTTCTTTTCATGTGTTTCTTGGTCATTCAAAAATCCCTCTTTGGAAAAGGACTTTTGGGTCATTTGTCCATTTTTTATTCAGATAGTTTTTTTCTTATAGGCTTACTTGAAATCCTATATTTTGGATATTAACCCCTCATCAGATATGTGGCCTGCCGATATTTTCTTCCCTGCTGTAGGTTGGCTATTCATTTTATCGATTCTTTAGCTGTTGGGCAGCGTTTCACTGACTAGTTTGATGTGGTCCTACTTGTCTATTTTTACTTAAGCTGGTGCTGTATCTGAAAAATCATTACCAAGCCCAATATCAAAGAACTTTCTCCAGATGTTTTCCTCTAGGAGGTTTCAAGTCTTAAATTTAAGTCTTCAGTACATCTCAAGATAAATTCCTTAGCGAGTGGGGTAAGATAGAGCTCCAGGTTTCCATGCGGGATTTATTGAAAAGGTTCTTTTGTTCTTCATTTGAGTATGTGGCATCCCTTGTGAAATACTAGTTGAGTATCTGCAAACAGCCTTATGTTTGAGCTTTTAATTTTCCTCCTTTGGCATGTGTGTGTTTTCCATTTTGTTGAGAAATAATTGATGTACATCACTGTTTATTTGAGTTGTTCGGCAGGATGGTTTCATTGATGTATTTTTTTTAAGTTATTAAAATGTTACGAGTCCGTAGTAAGAGGCAGGGATAATTTTTTAAAATTTTGGTATCATTAATATAAAATTACATGAGCAACATTCTGGTTAGTAGATTTCCCGCATTATCAAGTCCCCCCAACATACCCCATTACAGTCACTGTCCGTCAGCGTAGTAAGATGCTGTGGAGTCACTGCTTGTCTTCTCCCTGCTGTACTGCCTCCTCCGTGCCCCCGCCTACATTATGTCTGCTAATCGTAATGACCGTTTTCCCCCCCTAACCCTCCGTTCCCACCCATCCTCCCCAGTGCCTTTCCCGTTGGTCACAGTCCATTCTTGGGTTCTGTGAATCTGCTGCTGTTTTGTTCCTTCAGTTTTTTCTTTGTTCTTATGCTCCAAAGAGGACTGAATTCATTTGTCACTTGTCTTTCTCCACCTCGCTTATTTCACTGAACATAATACCCTCTAGCTCCGTCCATGTTGTTGCAAATGGTAGGATTTTTTTCTTTTTTTTGTTTGTCGGCTTTTTCATTTACTTTGTGTAATTTATTTCTAGTTTCATGCCGCTGTTATCTGAGAAATTGGTTGGTAACAATTTCAATCTTTTTTAATTTACTGAGGCTCTTTTTGGGGCCCTGTATATGATCTATTCTTGAAAGTGTTCCATGTGCACTTGAGAAGAATGTGTATCCTGTTGCTTTTGGATGGAGTGTTCTGAGATGTCCACTAGGTCCATCTGTTCTAATACATTGTTCAGTGCCTCTGTGCCCTTACTTATGTTCTGTCTGGTTGATCTGTCCTTTGGAGTGAGTGTTGTGTTGAAGTCTCCTAAAATGAATGCGTCGCATTCTATTTCCTCCTTTCATTCTGTTAGTATTTGTTTCACATATGTAGGTGCTCCTGTATTGGGTGCATGGATATTTATAATGGTTATATCCTCTTGTTGGACTGACCCCGTTATCATTATTTAAAGGCCTTCTTTGTCTCTTGTTACTTTCTTTGTTTTGAAGTCTATTTTGTGTGATACAAGTACTGTAGCACCTGCTTTTTTCTCCTTATTGTTTGCATGAAATATCTTTCTCCATCCCTTCATTTTTAGTCTGTGTATGTCTTTGGGTTTGAACCGAGTTTCTTGTAGGCAGCATATTGATGGGTCTTGCTTATATCCATTCTATTACTCTGTGTCTTCTGATTGGTATGTTCAGTCCATTTACATTTAGGGTGATTATTGTTAGATATGTACGTACTGTCATTGCAGGCTTTGGATTCATGGGTACCAGAGGTTCAAAGGCAGCTTCTTTACTATCTAACTGTCTAACTTAAGTCTCTTATGAAGCTGTTATAAAACACAATCTGATGATTCTTTTTCATTTCTTTCCCTATTTTCCTTCCTCCTCCACTCTTTATATGCTACATGTTTTATTCTGTAATTTCTGTGTTTCCCTTGATTGATTTTGTGGATAGTTGATTTGATTTTGCCTTTAGTTAGTATTCGGTTGTTCTACTTTATTTCCTATGGTTTTATTTTCTCTGGTGACATCTGTTTAACTTTAGGTGTGCTCCCATCTAGAGCAGTCCTTTTAAATACCCTGTAGAGGTGGTTTGTGGGAGGCAAATTCCCTCAACTTTTGCTCGTCTGGGAATTGTTTAATCCCTCCTTCATATTTAAATGATAATCGTGCTGGATACAGTAGTCTTGGTTCAAGGCACTTCTGTTTCATTGCATTAAGTATATCATGCCATTCTCTTCTGGCCTGTAAGGTTTCTGTTGAGAAGTCTGATGACAGCCTGATGGGTTTTCCTTTGTCGGTGAGCTTTTCTCTCTCTAGCTGCCTTTAAAGCTCTGTTCTTGCCCTTGATCTTTGCCATTTTAATTATTGTGTGTCTTGGTGTTGTCCTCCTTAGGTCCCTTCTGTTGGGAGTTCTGTGTACTTCCGTGCTCGAACGAGTATTTACTCCCCCAGTTTGGGGAAGCTTTCAGCAATTATTTCTTCAAATACACTTTCTGTCCCTTTTTCTCTCTCTTCTTCTGGTTCCCCTATAATGCGAATATTGTTCCTTTTGGATTGGTCATACTGTTCTCTTAATATTGTTTCATTCCTGGAGATCCTTTTATTTCTCTCTGCATCAGCTTCTATGCTTTCCTGTTCTCTGGTTTCTATTCCATCAATGGCCTCTTGCATCTTATTCATTCTGCTTATAAATCCTTCCAGAGATTGTTTCATTTCTGTAATCTTCCGGACTTAGCTCTTGCATATTTCTCTGCAGCTCCATCAGCATGATTATGACCTTTATTTTGAATTCTTTTTCAGGGAGATTGGTTCGGTCTATCTCCCTAGATTCCCTCTCAGGGGAGGATGTCTGGGTTAGTCTGGTGTGTATCAGATTCTTCTGCCTTTTCATGGCGATAGAGGTTGTTGTGGGGAGCTGGCGCGTGTTTTGGTTGGGAGAATGTCTCTTCTTGCTCGTTTGTGGCCTTCCTCTCCTGGGATAATGGCGACCCCTAGCGGTTTGTGGTGGGCAGCTGCTCGCAGACAGGGTCTCTGATTCTTGCCCGGCCGCTGTGGAGTTCACCTCCGCAATTGCTGTGGGTGTGGCTGGCCTCAGGCTGCTGCTCCACTGTGGCGGACCCACATCAGAGGGGAAACGGGTGGGAGGCTGTTTATCTCTGTGAGGGGCCTCCGAGCTGTGCTGCCACCCAGGGAGTTAGGGTGCCCGGAGTTGCGTGGGATTTCCAGCTGCTGGGCTAAGTGTCCCGGGACGCTTCCATCCGGTGATGGGGTCCCTGTCCCTGTCCCTGTAAGTCTTTCAAAAAGCACTCGCTTTTCTTTGTCTCAGGGGCACTGGCTGCGGAGACCTGCTCACAGGTTTTACTGTCCTTTTTCCCTAGTTTCCGGCACTGCACGCACGCACTGTGTGTCTGCAGTCTGGTGTGGATGGCTAGGGCTGGGCGTTAAGCAGTCCTGGGCTCCCTCCTCCTCCCCGCTCCGACTCCTCTGCTCTCGCCAGGAGCTGGGGTGAGGGGCGCTCGGGTCCCGCAGTTTGTCTTACCCCCTTTGTGAGACTCTGGGTTCTTGCAGGTTTAGATGTAGCCTCTCGTCCTGTATCTTCTGGTCTCTCTTTTAGGGATAGTTGTTTTTGTTGTATTTTCAAAAATACATATGGTTTTGGGAGGAGATTTCTGCTGCTCTACTCACGCCGCCATCTTGGCTCCGACTCTGCAGCAGTATACTTTCAATCCAGATACTGTGTCTTAAATCTTTTCTTTGGGCATTTTGTCACATTAAACTTAATGAAGGGGAAGGCAAGCTTTGTCTACTGCTTTTCTGTAAAACTTTTTTCTGTGTGAATTTGAGGTGTCTTTTGCATGTGTTTATCTGCCTATGTCTTCCTTTGTGTTTAGTGATGTTCTGCTCTCCTTTATTTTATTTCTCATTTCTCTGATTTTCTTACATGTGTATTTTCTTGGGTATTACCTAATACTCGTTAAGTTTATAACAAACTCTTTAAAGATGGGAACAATTTAAGGTTGAAAAACGACATCTTTATGTATGCTGCTCATCTCTTGATGCTGCTGACGGCATATTGTATCTTATTGTAAATCCATTAAGTGGTTCAAGAGTATTGAGCTTCATGCCTGTATTAAAAATATTTTCTGCTCTATTACAACAATACCACACGTTTCAATATTTGTGTTTACATTTACCAACAGCAGAGTGACATTTTAATTGAACTAGAGTTGATATACAAAATTACTTTTTTCAAGCGTAAAACAATTTGTAGGATACTGAATGTTCGCTATACTACGTGTGCAGTATTACTTTTTATATAGATTTTTAAAGTATGTGTAACTGATTGTTGTGGGGTAACTTGATGTTTTTATGTATTTCAGCAGTGTCTTCTCATTACATAAAAGCCTTGTTACCCCAGCAAGCCATAAAAGACTCATTCCGAACAGTGCTCCTGGGAAGATACGGGAGCTGTGACCTTGGGGACTCATACTCCAGTACACACCAGGATGCGGACGCTGAGCGTGGATGGCAGGACGGCTGTCACGTAGGAGTGCACGGTCACGGAAAGTATCCCTGGGACAAGGCCCTCCGCATCCGTGGGGACCCACATCCTGGGATGACTCAGGACACAACCCAGTTCGAGTCAGTTACTGCTGCAGAAGAATGTGCTTCTGTGAGTAGATGTCATCATCCAGTTTGGAAGCATAACTTTTCTCTTAAAGGACACTTGGAAAATCTCAGAATGGAGTATTGCTATGGTGTAGGTAATGACTTCAATCATTTAAAATACATTACATTAGATACTCAGTCATATGATTCTGAGGACCAACGGTGTAATGAAGAAAAAATGTGTAAATATGTCAAAATTGAAAGTTCCTTGATCAAGGATTTATTATTCTTACATGAACCAGTAACACCCACTCATGCTAAAACCTACAGTTTTAAGAACTGTCGGAGAGACTGTCTCCACCCATCATTGCTTAGTGAATATAAGTGTGCAGACAGTGAGCAAGAACCTTACATGTATGATAAAACTAAGCAGGCCTTTAGGAAGGACTCTCTATTAAATGATTGGCAAGGTATTTACATTCCAGAGAGAACATACCCCTCTATGAAACCTGGAATAAATAATAACAAAGGATCAGTCCATCAACAACATCAGAGAACTCAGATTCCAGGAAACCACTACCAAAGTAGTAAATGTGGACAAGTCTTCAAGGAGTGGTCAGACTCTGTGACACCTCAGGATATCCACATTGGAGAGACTCGTCACAAATACAAGGAATATGGCAAAACTTTTAAACATTTCGCAGAAGTGGTTGTGCATGACAGAATTCACACTAGTGAGAAAGCTTGCAAATACAAAGAATATGGGAAAGACTTCAGTGAATCTTCCCATCGAAGTAGTCACGAGAGAATCTGTACTGCAAAGCAACCAAACAAATGTAAAGAATGTAGCATATTCTTTACTTATTCCTCAGGACTTACTTTGAGCCAGAGAATTCATAAGGAGGAGAATCCTTACAAGTGTAAAGAATGTGGCAAAGCCTTTAAGTGGTACTCATCTCTTACTCGGCATCAGACAGTTCATTCTGGACAGAGACCTTACAAATGTAAAGATTGCAGTAAGTCCTTTACCTGTTTCGCATACTTGACTCAGCACCGGAAAGTTCATACAGGACAGATGCCTTACAAGTGTAAAGAATGTGCAAAAGCCTTTAGGTGGTCCTCACACTTTATTCGGCATCACAGAAGTCATTCTGGACAGAGACCTTACAAATGTAAAGAATGTGGCAAATGCTTTTCTACATCCTCAATTCTTAAGAAGCATGAGACAATTCACACTGTAGAGAAGCCGTACAAGTGTAAAGAATGTGGCAAAGCCTTTAAGTGGGGCTCATACTTGAATGAACATCTGAGAGTTCATTCTGGAGAGAAACCTTTCCAGTGTGAGGAATGTGGCAAAGCCTTTAAACGGAGCTCAACCCTTACTAAACATCAGAGAATTCATTCTACTGAGCATTAGAGAATTCATTCTGGACAGAAACATTTCAAATGTGTAGAATGCAGCAGTTCTGTCCTTTTGTTGTTTCTCACATCTAACTTTGAACCAGAGAATTCATACTGGAGAGAAGCCTCACAAGTGTGAAGAATGTGGGAAAGACCTTAAGTGGGGCTCATCTCTTACTCAGCATCAGAGAATTCATTCATGGCAGAGACATTGCAAATGTAAGAACTGCAGTGAGTCCTTTTCCTGTTCCCCATCCTTGACTGAGCACCAGAGAGTTCATACAGGAGAGACGCCTTACAAGTGTACAGAATGTGGAAGAGCCTTTATGTGGTCCTCACACTTTTCTTGGCATCAGAGAAGTCATTCTAGACAGAAGCCTTACAAATGTAAAGAAGGTGGCAAATCCTTTACTGCATCCTCAAATCTTAAGAAGCATGAGATAATTCATACTGTAGAGAAGCCTTAGAAGTGTAAGGAATGTGTCAATGCCTTTAAGTGCAATTTACATCTTACTGAACAGGAGAAAATTCATTCTGTACAGAAGCCTTAACAAATGCACAGTATGTAGCAACTCCTTTACGGGTTCCTCAAGTCTTTCTGTGAATGAGAGAATTCACAGTGGAGAGGTGCTTACTAGTGTAAGCAATGTGGAAAAGGTTTTAGTAGTTCATCAAGTGTTAATAAACAGAAGAATATCGAACCTGGAGTGAAATTTTACAAGTGCAAACAATGTAACAGCATTTGCCCAGTCCTCAGTCCCTACTCGGTATGAGGGAATTCACTCTGGACAGAAACCTTACAAATGTAAAATAAAGAATGCAGCAAAAGTTCTTTATGTGTAAAGTATAAATATAGGGAGCATGAAAGTTTTCAGATGGGAGAAAAACAATCTATAAATTGAAAGACCGTGGCAAAGCTGTCTACAGTTTCTCACATATTGTATGTGAGGAATTCATTCTGGAGAGGAAACATACCAGTATAATGAATATGGAAAGACCAGTGGCTAAGAAATGCCCCTTTAAAACATGACAGACGTCATAATGTAAAGAATCTTTAGAGGCGCAGAGTAGTTTGGAAAATCTTTAATTGAAAATCTAAGTTAGCCATGAAAGATTTATATGAGAAAGCACTAAGTGACCAACTTTTTTCAAGATTACTCTAAAAATATTTGTTACAAAAATGATCCAAATTAAGAAGGGATCTGATAATTGACTTGGTAATTTGTGTCTGCCTAAAAGGAGATGTACTTTGCATAGTACAGTGCCCTCCACCCTGCAGTTCAGGTGCCAGTTGTAAGCCCCAGGCAGTTAACCTGCGCTGCCAGTGACCTCCCCTTTCGGTTCGGTTAATTTCCTAGACGGGCTCACCGAGCTCAGGCAAACACATTTACCCGTTTAACGAAGGACACCTTAGAGGGTACACGTAACAGGCGCATCAGGAGTCACAGGACAAGGTCCCAAATAAAGGAGCTCCTGTCCTCGTGGACCTTGGGGTGTGGCGGGGTGGCACGTGGGGGCGGTCTGGTTCCCCAAGCTTAGAAGCTCTGACTGAGAAACAGGATGTGAGAGCGGACAAGAATGATACGGTCTCGTTTTTTTGTTTTTTGAGGGCACCATTCCATAGCCATAACTGAGTAACTGTTCATTGGCTGGTACACCCACCAGCCCCCATCAATATGAAGAGGAGACACCCATTTCACCTGTTATCCTGCAGTGTTTTCAGGAGCTGTGGATGAAGACCATATATATCTTGGAAATACGTGCTCATGTGAATGACCAAATATGTATTTCTTAGGACTAATTATATCACAGTCCACCTCCTGTCTTCAAATACAGATTCATTACAGCAAAATGATCGTGCCGGTCAGAGCGTTCACTCTGGGTGGTATTCACACAACATAACAGGATCAGTTCGAATAAGTCTAGCATTTCATGAGGCCAGTTTGGGGTGGGGACAGATGGAAACAGACAACTCAGTAATACTATAAAGTTTTTTCGACCTGATATCCTACCAGATCGATGTAACTGCAGCTTGAAGCTGTCAGTCATCTTGTCATGTTCCCAGAAGCAGAGATGGTCTGGGCAAGCACATAGGTTCACCCTTATGGGCGTCAGGTGTTCTTCTGCCAAGACATAATTAACATTCTGTTGCCCTGAGCCTCTCTTGAGGTGTTAAAATGTTGGGTTTCTGTCTTTGCATAACTGACTTACCCATCCCTTTACCTTCAGGTATAATTTCTCTGTCCATTTCTCATTTAACTTACCCAGACTTTTCCCCCTGTGGAAGGGACATTAGGTCCAGCTGCTGTGCTCATGGTCCTGATTGCTGACAGCAATACTAGTCTAGAAAGTGTCTGCCCTGCAGTCCTCTCCTGCTCACGTAAGCTGGGGTTACACAGGTGCAGAGCTAGTGGGCTGTGCCAGCCATTGGGCAGCACAGGTGTGCTCACTGTGGCAGATGGGGTGAAGGCCCAACCCACCCCACCAGGCCCTTAGGAATTCTGACATAAAGATTCAAGGGTAAGGTTACCGTTTCTTCCTTAGTACTCTTGCCTGCTCTGGTTCCCACAGTTGCAGCCCTGGACCTGGGACCACTGCATCCAGGAGGAATAAAGGAAGTTGTGCTGGTGTCGATGAAGAACTGCATAGTTGAACTAACATCCTCCCCAACCTCCTTCCTCAAATCCTCCTCAAACGTGGATTAATCTCTCCAGTGGGACCCTCCTTCAACCTCATGTGAGCACATACTCTTAAAGGCGTGTAAACCAGCCCTTCATGCCTTTATCTCCCATTTTAGACTGACTGTTTCAACTGCACATGCAGTGTTATTAAGTCACCACTCTGAGGGTGACATGCACCATGGTACATCCGTGTCATGTTTTTTGGCCCCCTGCTGGACTCCCTGGGCTTCTGTAAGGCATGTCCCTTGGGCTGAAGAGATGTGAATTGCTGGTCTACATTTGTACCAAGTCTTTCTTCCTACTCATTTAATAGTATTTTGAGCATTTGCATCTATCACTGGGTATGTAATGCCCAGTCCAGAATAATTGTCTATTCCAATTAGGACCCATTTATAGCCTCCAGGGGATACTAACATTGGTCCAATGTCATCCACTTGCCAGATGTGTGTGGGGCCTTGCCCCAGGGGAATGTTTTCCATAGCCACTTGCAATCTGTTTCTCTTAAGTGACAATTCCTGTTGGCATTCTGTGCCTATAGGGTGCAAGAGGACTGTCCAGATGTAGCCCATCTCTGCATTCCTGCCACTACACGTCCACTCATTTTATGGACTCATGTGGCCACCAAATGGGAGTGGACACAGGCCCCCTTGGTGGCTCCAGTCACCTGATCCTGGGAGGGAGTCCTGCTGTGCATCCACGTGGCCTACTTTAATGTGTCCCTTCAATAGCCGGAGTGATTGCCATACAGGTGCACCCAACACAGGCTTTCCTTTAATAGTCCACTTTTCCCTGGCGCATCTGTCTGACCACACAGCCAGGCCATGGGCGACAATGCACATCAGTAAAGATTGAAACAAAGTTTTTATTGCTGCCAGGAAAACGGCATGCAGTTTATCCCACTAACTGAATTTTTCTTACCTTTCAACTACTCTTGCCATCTGCTTTTCTTAAGGCTTCACATTTCTATACAGGTGATTCATCTTTCATGTGTCATCTCTAAACCAGGCAGCTCTTTATTGTTCATCAGAGAGCTGTTCATAGGTCACAGGCTATGAAGCAATCAGTTCTTAAAACTACAGGTAGCTTTAATGTCACTTCCTTAATAGGGCATTTATCTGTCCAAGATGTGAGTATCTCAGGCCTCAACATTACTTATGTTCTTCAGTCAGTGAGGCAGTCTCAGTGCCCAAACACATGCTGGTAATCATCTCTCAAATGATGTGTACCAGGTAGCAGCGTCTGATAACTCTCTGGTCCAAAATCCCAACAGTCCCTGCTGGGAGCGCTCCTGGGCTGTTGCCAGAATGTCTGTGTGGGTACAGGTGGCAGATTCTTTCAAAGTATGTCTGAGTGGGGGTCTTAAGGGCCCAAAGGTGTACAGAGGGCAACTGTCTTAAGACATGGCTTCCTTTTGTTCAGGTCCCAGTCAAATAATAGCTCTTTCATGTAATAGATGGAATATAACAGTATCCTCGGGTGTGGTGTAGGCATCCTCCACAATCCAAGATATGCCAACCAAATACTGGGCTGCTTGTTTGGTCCTAGGCAGGTAGTGACAGTTGATGTTTTGTCCTTTGTGGAAGATACCGGTGCCTTCGCCCATTCCTAATAATTTTGTTGTTTGAGCAGGACCTCGGGTCTTTGCTGGATTCATTAACCAGCCCTGGTTGGTTATGTGTGGCACTATTGTGTTCAAGTCAGTCCCAGCCTGCTCGTGTGTTTCTGGTAGTATTGTAATGTCATCAGTATAGTGTGTTACTACAGCTAGACCTGCATCGAGTCCAAATCCTGCCTGACCAAGCAGTGTCCATAAGCTGGTGAGTTCAGATACCGTTGTGTCAGCATGGTAAATTTAAATTGGGGTCCCAATCACGTGAAGGAAAATTGGTTGACTCTTCAGACATGGAGATAGAGAAGAAACCATTTTCAAGCACAGTGCCTGAGTACTAGCCTCTTTTAGCCTGCTGTGTTTTCTGTAGGGTTAAACCCTGTCTGGAACGTTAAACCACACTATTCTGTGAGTGTCTCAGCCATCTGCCATTTCTCAGTCCACACAGGGCTATTGTACAGTGCATTCTTGGGCACCAGCAGTCCAGCTTGTAGCACGTCAGTAATTAAAGCAGGTGTCTATAGTGCTTCAAATTAGCCACCTGTGTGTGCTCAGGCAATTGATGGGGTTCCCACTCAGTATGCCAAGTAGAATGGGCCTGAGGGCAGGCTTACATACTTTCTTAGTGTGCTAACAAGGGGGAGCAATCCCCCGTCAAACATAATATCCATCCTAATAATATATTCAGGTAAAGGAGGTGCAACCACCTTGCACAAAATCTCAACACCCCAATTTTCACCCAAGCTTTCACTTTAAACCTGTGAACCATTGAATCTCCATATCCTCCAAATCTAACTTTAACGATTGCATAGTTGACAACAGGTTTTGGAATCACTGTATATTGGTGTCCCAAAACAAGGAGTCCCAGGGAAGTCTCTAACCCTCTCCTTGGTGATTTTACGTTCCATGTGCAAATGGCTTCAGGTCCCTGTTGGGGATGTGGCCACAAGACAGCCATTTGTCCAATGGATTCGTAGGGGAATTTTCTCTGGGAGGATGACTGCCTATGAATCCGTGGAAACCAAGGTACGGCAAAGGGAAGGGCGCCTTGGGAGGAACAGTTTATATTGCTCACAGCTTGCCAGAATTCACTGCCTAGGCATGGCGCTACGTTGCTTGTGGCCAGGGTGCATACTCACCAAGTCCTCATCCACTGGCTCCGTGCAAACACGCACTGCGCACTCCATTTTCCAGCAGCTGAAGCATGTTCTCGGCTTCCCTGCCTACCCCTTCTAGGGGGAGCTCCACGGGCCATTCCTTGGTGGCTACAAGATGGCAGACCAATTACATGCCAGGAATGGAGGGGAAAGAGAGTGCCCATTTTCTCTGCCTCCACCTTGCTGCTCAGGCTGAAGGCTGTACAGTGGTAAACAATGATTGTTATGTAAATGGCTAAGGCGAGATTCTGGAAATTCTGCCATTTTACTGCGCAGCCACCCTCATGGGTGCAGAGCTTCAGCAGGCTGCCATTATGTATGGTTAGGAGACCGCTGAGTATCCACGTAGGGATGGTGGGTAAACACCCAGGGATCCCCAAGTAGGGATTCAGCATGTGGTGTCTTACCTCCAAGAGGATTGGGTGCCTCCCTAGTACTGGTGAGAGATGGGGATGCCTGAGGCAGTGGAGTTGGCCCTGCACAGAATAGGGGGCTCCTTAGGGGAACTTGAGTGTCCATGAGGTGTTGGGAACTGCGGGTTGGATGTTTCTCAGCATTGGGAAGGGTAACTAAGGGGGCAGAGGGGCTTTGGCAGGAAGTGTCAGAACAGGAGTGCAAATTGTGGGATACTAAGGGGAAGGTAAGGACGGTACTGAGAACTGACACGGTGCTGCTGAGAGATACAGTAATGGCAGAGGAAGTGGAAATGGGAGAAGAAGGCTCTAAACGGCCTGGGGGAGGTGAAGGAAGGGCTGGGGCCTTCAGCCCCAGAAACGGTAGAAGAGACGCCGGGGGAGTAGGAGCTCGGGAAGAGGTTGGTGTAGGAGCCGCTGGTGCCAGGAGGACTGGAGTGACCGCAGCCAGGCGCCCGCCCCTCCCATGTGGGAGCCTGCACAGGCGCAGTTAAGAAAGTGACACAACAGTGGGTTCCGCAGGGAGAGAGGCTGCTTCCTCCCCCAGGTTGTGGTGCGCTCCATGATCTTATATTTGCCATCATAGAGTTCTTTTGTGTGGACTTCTTAACGTATATGTTTCTTTTAATTTAGTTTTGTCCTGGCATAATCCTTTAAATATGCTATATCTTTACACATTGTCTGGCACTATAGGTTTCATTATGAAACTTTGTGAATACGAATATTCTAAAATTTTAGAAACGGAAGAACTTTGAAGGGTAGAGGAAAATCTCTTCTTCCCCCATGCTGTCTATAATAATTTAGAGTGGGTGGCTTGGACCTGGAAGAGAACTAATATCAAAGGTAACTTTATATCAGAAAGACTTATCTTCACGTCATGGCAGATACTTACCAACCCTCTGCTCTTCCATCTTCTTGTGAATTGTCTTCCTGCTGTTTGAATGCCCAGACGTCTACCCTCTTCTTTGAGGTTGACATGGAATTCTCAATCATCTGATGGTCTCAGAGCCTCATATTTTTTGGGTCCTTGTATGTATGAAATTAAATTTGTTCTTCACCTCTTGATGTCATGTTAATTCAATTAATAGCCCAGCCAAAGAACCTGGAGGGGAAAATGGGGAAAGCTTTCCTCCCCAAAATATTTATCCCAGTTGCTACGAAAACTGTATGAGACCGTTACAGGGGACAGGCCCTCGGTCTCATGAGGGATAAGAAATCAGGAATGGACACGAGAAGCAGTTCAGCGTGAAGAGTTTGTTCGGAGACTACAATATCAGAGACAAAGTGAGAGTGCACACCTGAGAGAGAGGCACAGGCAGGCCCAGAAGGGGTGTGCAGAGGAAAGGAGAGAGCATTGTCACGGAAAGGAATATGGATATTCACTAAGAGAGAGGAGGTTGTAAAGGAACAGGTGGGGTTTCTCCTAGTTTGGGCTTGCCCCCCCCTCATGTCCCCCAGGGGTACTATTGCCTG